CCTTTAAAAAGGTTTTCTAAAATTCTCTAGTAATAATAATATCATTGGCCTTTAAATCTTAACAAATTTTAATTCAAACATATTCGACATCATTAATGTACTTGAAAGAACAAACAATATGTGTATATTTTAATGTTTTCTGGTATGAGTAAAGATGTGTAAAGTTTTATATTTAGAAAGTATATAAATATTTAAAAAACTTTTTAGTTGAGAAAACTACAATGGTTCTCACTATTGTAAGAAAGTACAATACCCAAAAGCATGGAACCCACAGAGTTACAATGTAGGGACTCTTTTTTTTTTTTTTTGTCATGATAAAAATGTGTCTCCTACGCATTTGCTCTAACTTGTTTACAAACTTTAAGGGGATATTTAATAGATAGGAAGTGTTAAATACACCACTAAAGTGAATTGCTCTATTTGTTCTGCTTTTAGTAGCATAGAATTAGAAATTTTGACACAGAAAACTACCTCCTCCTCAGGGCCCATAAATCACACTAAAATGCCATGTAAGATTTTCTACTAAAACAGTATTCAATCTGAAACTAGAAAATAAGCATAGAGGTCCTCATTACCAACTTAAAATAACCAAAAATATTAAATCTGTCTGATTCCACAGTCACAAAATCATGCACTAAACCTCATCTGTCACTTTCACCAAGCACAATATTAGAATTGCATTAACTTGTATTTCTCATTAGAAATCTAGTTCAAAATATGTTAACATTTAGGACTACATTCTACAGAAATCCTCTTACAAGAGACCACCTATCAATCAGCGTAACTAAGCTTATTGACCAGTGGACAGTTGATAAATATTACTGGTAGATTGTTTTTAATGGCACCAGTAAATTAGTTCTCCCATGAATTTTTGCAAACTTTTATACATAGTAATTTGGAACACTATAAATGTGCCATCATAAATGGTACAGGGGCTAAGCAAAAAAATGTTACATAAGGATATCTATAGCTGACTTTAAAATCATTTAGGAGGGAAAATTACACATAAAAATAGACATAAGATAAAGACATAAAACAAGGCAAAATGTTAACACTTGTTGAATTTGATATGCATACAGATATTCGATGAATTATACTTTCAATTTTTACATTTGAAAAGTTTAGTTTTAAAATATTTTAAAATTAAATATTAACTTTCATTGGTTTATCCTTAAAAGTGGAAGAATTTTCTTTATTTTTAAAATATGCACAGTCCGAAAATATAAAGAGAACCAGTACTCCTAATTTTCCTAGAAATTGTTTTTCATATTTTATTGGGTGTTTGAAATTTTCAATTTTCTTCAAAATAGGTACTTATATTTTCCAGTTGAATTTATGAATAATGAGTACTCCCAATTAAACTCAAGGAAATCCGAATTCAAGAAAATTACTTGGGTATTTATATGGTAGACTTCTCCTTTACTCGCCGCATTCTCTGGAATTTGCCAAACATTCCCTGTTACTAGTCAATAAATATCTCTATGCACCTATTCTCTTAAAAGTAAGAGTAAGCCCTATCATATGTAATACTTATTTCAAGGCCTACTGGCACTTATAATGTACAAGAAAAGTATTTTAATGTAGAAGAGAAAGCTATCAAAATATATGTCTTACAGAAAATCATGAACTGTTCATTTTTTGTTGTTGTTGTTTTCTTTTCTTTTGCTTTGTTTGGGAGGCACATTAATGCTACAGAAGCTTTGTTGAAACTTAGAGATCAAAGACACAAAGAAAACTTTTAAAATGTAATCAGTGTCTTCCCATGCTTCTCTCTGGATATTCAGATACACAGTGGTCATACCAAAGCCAGTAAAAAGCAGAGGGTGTTTGTTATCTGCCTCTAAAATCATCCAGTTTTCCTAAGACAACTGTTAGCAATTGCTTATCACAACAATGTTACTAGATATATGCTGCCATTCATCATTGCTTTTGTTAGATAATGATTTTTCTAGGTATATTTTAATTTCAACAACAAATTTACCATCAGTCAACAACAAAATGAGCTTCATATGAATGTAATTTTCACCAAAACATCACATCCTCACTTGACCTATGTTTATTTAAATATGGCTCTACTTTCATGACCTCAAAATGTATACTATTCAAATGTTTAAATTTGGAAGGCGTTTAGCATGTCAAATTATCTGGGAGTTTGCAATGTTCAGTACATTGTTTGAAGTGTTTCATTTGCAAAGAATTCACTTATTCTCTGGCTTTGCAGAGAAGTATCCCTAAAAACAAATGCATGTGGTGGTTCACTACCATAGAGAATCAATACCCATCTATTTAATTTGCTAAGACAATGTAAATTAGTAACTTCCAGCCAGATGTGTGATATACACATCAAACAAACTGCAACCTGTTCATTATGAAAATCCTGTCAACACACACAGAGACACTTGATGACATTTCATCTAAAGCTGTTTCCACATTTGCAGCTATAAAAATTGTTCTAAGAATTTTTATACAAGGAATTGGAGCTGAGACTTATAAAAGGATAATCAATTTCAGCCTTTCGTCTTGCGTGCTTGTGTATATATGCTTCTGTGTATTTATTTCTATTTTCCTTCAGAGCTACAAAATGTTCAGAAAAATGTTTATCATGCTATTTTTCCTTCTATAAATCATTTATCCCCATTACATCTTTAAAATCTGATGTGAAGTTGATTGTCTGATTCTGCAGCTCTGAAAAAGTGTGTAAAGAATGACACAGTCAACAGAAGAAAAAAAAAGAACACTTACCCACTGGGGGGAAAAAAAGAATATTTCAAAATGACTCCAAACATAAATTAAGTTTACCCGTTGGGAGGTCTAACTTGCATTCAGATCATTTATAGGGGTCTGTGTGACTATATACTCCGCTGTTTGATAAAGAATGATTGCTAACCACAGGCACCCACCAGAGAACAGTGTGTGTGTGTGTGTGTGTGTGTGTGTGTGTGTGTGATGCTTGTGATGTCTCAGACATACAAGCCGCCTTCTTAAAGAATGTCCATTTCCTTTCCACGGTAAGCAGATGTCATTTGTCACTCTTTAGTACTTCTGCTTCACAGAGTAGCTTGTTTTTTCAGTTATGCTTTGCCATTTTTGCTTGTGTTTATTTTAGTAATATGAAACTAAATTACTAAAATAGATTTTTATGATACCCAGCATAATGGTATGCTTTCTGGCCTATATGAAAATACACAGCCCTCTTGCTATTACAAAAATCTAATCATATTTATTTTTAACACTGTTTACTACAGTGAGAGATGCTAAAGGGCTCTTCTTACTAACTTGCTATTATTCTTAAATACTGGATTCTCACCCAACCAAGTTCATTTTCCAAGCCTATTGAATTACATTTTCTTAATATACAGGGCATAGTAAATAATCTAATGCCATATTTCTAACTAGCACGTTTGTAATTCAGCAATTTAACGTGGAATGAAACCAACTCTCATCCTCTTGTGATCTGATTGCAGAGACCACCCCTTACCAACACCCTATCAAAACAGCGTTTCTTCTAAGAAATAAATCACTTTGGGGCTCCTCTAAAATCACAAAAATTTCAAACTCTACTCCCCCACACCCCCAAAACTCAGCACTTCGGAAACAAAAGAGTTCTTCATAAAGCCTTCAACCCTAAGCACTTCGACTTTCACGCACGGTCCAGAACGTGCTTTCTTCACCAGTCGCCACAGGCCACGTGACCAGGCTGCGGGACCCACGGGCGCGGGGGGGGGGGGCCCCGTTCT